CATGCCAGCATTTCTTCACATTAAGTGTTAAGAGTACTTTGCAGCCAGTTCAACTGTTAAGACAAGAAGTTGATCACAGCAACAGACTTTACCAGGAGAAACAAAAAGTGTTTGTTTTAATGCTCATGTCAGACCCTTTTTAATGGATTCTGGGAGCTGAACAACTCAGAGCTCCTAGAGGGCCCCTGACAAGCACACTTAAAAAACAAACAAACCAAACTTTTAAAATTGGCACGACAGAGAAGCACTAATTTTCCTGGAAACATACTTTTTATGTTGTGCGGAAAATCTCGCTGTCAAGAACTGAATGTCCAAAAGGAGACAGAGGAGTCCTAAAACTTTATTCAAATAAAGGGAGAGTCCACCGGGCATATCCCTGTAGGGTCTCTCAAATTGCTGGGGGACGCAGCCCCCCTTTTATCCTAATTTCCCGACCGAGGGACGCCCTCTCCTTTTCCCCATTGGCCAAGGTACTCAGAAGCCTTCCTGGCCCGCCTACACCCAACTCCGGCCTCCCGCCATCTGTTCTCACCTGAGCTCACCAACTCCTTTGTCCCCCTTGCTGAAGAATGTGGGGGAATTGCGCCCTTTGTAAAGGCCCCCATCTCCTTGCAGATGGCTCTTTTTGTCCCACTCGGCTCATGGCTCCACTCAGTCTCCCTTCCCTTTGTCCTGCCCTTCAGCCAAACTGTGGAGAAACCCCCTTACTGATGAATACAGAAACTTGAGCATTCCGCTCAATGTGGTTACTGAATGACTACCTACTTATGCCTTTATACACCTGACCTATATACATGCACAAAGATGAATTTATATATATCTACCCGGTGGGCAGAGATAATCCATGACAAGTGCAAACTGAGAATGAATGTGTTGCAGTGGAAGTCCTAAGCAGATAAAAATGAATGGACTACAAGCAGCAGCCAGTTTAATTCTTTCCCCATCACCGCCACCCATGGCCCCGTGACGGAAAAATCGACATGGACAGAACATAAAGGTGTTTTTTAAACTGTAAATGAACACAGTTTGCTCTTGACTGTAGAATAGCAAAGCAAATCAAAAAAAAAAAAAAAAAAGGAGACACTGAATATAATATCGCTTGCATATACTTTCCTGAACAAATTCTGTCCAACTGCTATTGCATTAATTGAAAAAGTCCTTCTCACCAGGCAGAATTTGGCCTAATATGGGTAATCTCAATGTAATGTATAACCATGTTGGGGAAGAACTATCAGAGACGTATGTTTAGAAGTTACCAGATTTACTGTTAGATAGTAGAAGAATCAGCAGAAGAGCTGAAATAAGTTACTGTGGCAAGATATCTGTGTTTTCCTACTTCTCTTGTTTTCCTAACTGATGATTTCCATATCACTGCCATAAAAGTGGAACCAAAAGCAATTACTTCTAGATGAGAGAAACACAAGAAAAAATAAACCAACCATTTGCAAATCAGTCTTCACTCTAGCCCATTGCTAACGGCAAT